ATTCATGAGAAGCACTCTCAACAAAGTAGATATAGAAGGAACATACCTCAACACAATAAAGGCCATACATGAAAAACAACAAACATCATATTCAATATTAAAAAGTTGAGAGGTTTTCTTCTAAGATCAGGAAGGCAAGGGTTCTTTTATTTCAGTACAGTACTGGAAGTACTAACCACAGAAATCAGACAAGAAGAATACATAAATGGCTTCCAAATTGGTAAGGAAGAAGTAAAACTGTCACTATTTGCAAATGACATAATACTATATACTATATAGTATACTGTATATAAAAAATCTAAAGACCACCAAAAAACTACTAGAATTAATAAATTCAGTAAACATGTTAAGATATAAAATCAATATACAGAAATCTGTTGTGTTTCTACACAATAATGACAAAATATCAGAAAGAAAATTAGGAAAACAATCCCATTTACAGTTGCACTGGAAAAAAAATTGTTTAGGAATAAATTTAACCAAGTTGAAAGACCTGTATCTGAAAACAATAAATGACTGATTAAAAAAATGGAACAGAACATAAATGGTAAGATATACCCTCCTCATTGTTAGAAGAATTAACATTGTTAAAATGTCCACCCTACCCGAACCAATTTACAAATTCAATGCAATGCCTATCAAAATACCAACAGTATTTTTCACAGAATTAGAACAAATGATCTGAAAATTTGTATGGAACTAGGAAAGACCCCGAATAGATAAAGCAATCCTGAGAAAGGAGAACAAAGCTGGAAATATCACAATCCCAGATTTCAAATTATATTACAATGTTATACAAATCAAAATAGCACATTTGTCCAAAAAACACATATAGACGGTCAATACACATTAAAAGATGCTTACTATCACTAGTTATCAGGGAAATGGAAATCAGAACAACATGAGATATCATCTCACATGAGTCAGAATGGCTAAAATCAAAGTTAAGAAATAACTGTTGGTGAGGATGTAGAGAAAAGGAAACCCATGTGCACTGTTTGTGGAAATGGAAATTGGTGCAACCACTGTGGAAAACACTATGAAAGCTCCTCAAAAAATTAAAAATAGAAAATACATATGATCAAGTAATTCCATTACTGGGTATACATGCAAAGAATGGAAAAACACTAATTCAAGAAGATATATGCACCCCTATGTTTATTGCAAGATTATTTACAAAGCCCAGACATCGAAGCAACCTGTGTCCATTGATAGATAAGTAAAAAAGATGTGAAATATACATGCAATGGAATATTACTCAGCCATAAAAAAGAATGAAATCTTCCCATTCACAAAAACATGGATCGACCTAGAGGGTATTATGCTGCATAAGATAAATCAGATGGAGAAAGACAAATATCATATGATTTCACCTGTATGTGGATTCTTTTTTTTTTTTAAAGATTTTATTTATTTATTTGAGAGAGAGAGAATGAGAGACAGAGAGCATGAGAGGGAAGAGGGTCAGAGGGAAAAGCAGGCTCCCATGGAGCAGGGAGCCCGATGCGGGACTCGATCCTGGGACTCCAGGATCATGACCTGAGCTGAAGGCAGTTGCTCAACCAACTGAGCCACCCAGGTGCCCCTGTATGTGGATTCTAAAAAACAAAACAAATTCATAAACAAACAAAAAACAAACAGTCTCTTAAACACAGAGAACAAACTGGTGGTTGCCAGAGGAAAGCGGGTAAGGGATGGAATAGGCAAAATAGGTGAAGGGAATTAAGAGTAACAAACCACCACTTATAAAATAAATGTCACAAGCCTGCCTGGGTAGCTCAGTGGGTTAAGAGCCGGACTCTTGGGTTTTGGCTCAGGTCATAGGTTGTGAGATCGAGCCCTGAACCCCACAATGGGCTCTACACTCAGCAGGGAGTCTGCTTAAAGATTCTCTCCCTCTGCCCCTCTCCCCACTTTTGCTGTCTCAAATAAATAAATCCTAAAAAAAAATAAAATAAAATAAATGTAGCAGAGGTGAAAGGTATAACACAGAAAATATAGTCAATAATATTATAATGTTGTATGGTGACATGGTAATTGCACGTATGATGAACGTTGCATAATGCATTATGTAGAGAATTCTCCAATCACTAAGTGGTATACATGAAACTAGTAACATTGTATGTCAACTATTTCAAACCAAGCAAAACGTAAAAAAAAATTTTAATGAAAAAAGAAATCAAAGATGAAACAAATAAATAGAAAGATATATATATATATATGTACTATGATCATAGATTGGAAGAATGAATATTGTTAAAATGTCTATAATACACAAAGCAACCCACAGGTTTAATGGCATCCATATGAAAATACCTATACTGGGGTTTTTTTGTTGTTTTTCTGTTAAACTTTATTTTAATTCCAGTATAGTTAACATACAGTGTTATATTAGTTTCAGGGATACAATATAGTAACTCAACAATTCCATACATCACCCAGTGCTCATCAAGACAAATGCACCCCTTAACCCCCATCACCCATTTCACCCATCCCTCCACCCACCTACCCTCTGGTAACCATCAGTTTGTTCTTTATACTTAAGAGTCTGTTTCTTGGTTTGTCTCTCTATCTTTTTTTTTCCTTTGCTCATTTGTTTTGCTTCTTAAATTCCACATATGAGTGTATAGCATTATACTCCCTAGCTCCATCCATGTCATTGTAAATGGATTCACAGAATTAGAACAAATAAACCTAAAAATTCCTTGGAACCACAAAAGAACCAGAATAGTCAAAGCAACCTTAAGAACAAATCTGGAGGTATCAAACTACCAGATTTCAAACTATACTACAAATAGTAATCAAAGCAGAATGGTACTACAGGCAAAAACACAGGTACATGGATCAATAGAACGTAACAGCCCAGAGGCGCCTGGGTGCCTCAGTCAGTTAAGCGGCTGCCTTTGGCTCAGGTCGTGATCCCAGAGTCCTGGGATCGAGCCCCACGACGGACTGCCTGCCCAGTGGGGAGTCTGCTTCTCCCTCTCCCTCTGCCCCTTTCCCCTGCTCATGCTCTCTCGCATGCGCATGTGTGCGCTCCTGCTCTCTCAAGTAAATAAATAAAATCTTAAAAAAAAAAAGCCCAGAAATAAAACCAAGCTTAGATGATCAATTAATCTATAACAAAGGGGACAAGAATATACAATGGGGAAAAAAACAGTCTCATCAATAAATGGTGCTGGGAAAATGAACAGCTACATGCAAAAGAATGAAACTGGACCACTTACTTGCACAATACACGGAAATAAACTGAAAATAAACAAAAGACCAAAATGTAAGAGGCGCCTGGGTGCTTCAAACGGTTAAGCATCTGACTCTTGATCTGAGCTCAGGTCTTGATCTCAGTGTCATGAGTTCAAGCCCCGTGTTCGGCTCTAGGCTGGCCATGGAGCCTACTTAAAAAATAATGATAATAATAAAATAAAATAACAAAATAAAGACCAAAATGTAGATCTGAAACCATAAAGCTCCTAAAAGAAAAAAAAAGATAGAAAATTTACAGACATCAGCCATAACAATATTTTTTTGGATATGTCTCCTCAGGCACGGGAAATAAAAGCAAAAATAATTAAATGGGACTACATCAAACTAAAAAGCTTTTGCACAGCAATGGAAATGATCATTTCCATTCCATTCCAAAAAAACAAAAAGGCAACCTCCAGAATGGAGAAAAAAATTGTAAATTGTAAATCATATATCTGATAAGATATATGATAAGATATCTGATAAGAGGTTAATATTCAAAATTTATAATCAACGCATACAACTCAACACCAAAACAAAAATCAAATCAAAACAGGGTAGAGTACCAAAATAGACATTTTTCTTTAAAAAAAATTACATATGGCCACTGAACACATAAAAGATGCTACACATCACTAAATACCAGGGAAACGCAAATCAAAACCCCGGTATCACGTAACACCAGTCAGAATGCCCAGGGTTGAAAAGAGAAAAAATAAGTATTGCACAGGATGTGTAGAAAAGGGAACCCTTCTGAATGTTGGTGGGAAGGTAAAATGATGCAGCCGCTATGAGAAACAAGTGTGGACATCCCTCAAAAAATTACAATACAGGTATCATACAATACAGTATTTCTACTTCTGGGTATTTACCCAAACAAAAACACTAATATGAAAAAACATATTCACCCTAATGTTTATTCCAGCATTATATACAATAGCAAAGATACGGAATCAATTTATGCGTCCATCCATGATTGCCTGGATAAAAAAGATGTGGTCTATATGCACAATGGAATATTTCCTCAGCCATACTGAAGACTGAAACCTTAGAATTGGTGGTAATGTGGATGGACCCAGACGGTATTATGCTACAAGAAATGTCAGAAAAACACAAATATCATATTATTTCGCTAATAAGTGGAATCTAAAAATCAAATCAACAAAACAGAAACAGATAAAAAGATGTAGAGAACAAACAAGGTTGCCCGAAAGGAGGAGGTGGGGGATGGGCAAAATAGCTGAAGGCAATTAAGAGGTGCGAAATTGCAGTCAAAATAAATACGTCTCCGCAATGAAAAGCATAGCATAGGGAATATAATCAATGATATAATAATAACTTTCTATGGTGACAGATGGTTAACTACAGTTCCATGGTGAGCAATTCCAAATATATATAATTGTCGAATCACTACGCCGTACACTGGAAATCACGATAATATTTTAGGTAAAGTACATTTCTATTAATTTTTTTTACGTAAAAACAAAAAAATATACACACGAAAATTAAAATAATAACTTAAACAAAACAATGAAAATAAGACAATATAAAATACACTGTAAAGTAAAAGATACAATAAAAAATGAATAAGGGAAAAATAAAATATAAAACGAAGGAAAATAAACAAAAACCAAAATAAACAGTGAAATGAAATATAAATAAAATGATAAAATAAAAAAAACCCAGTTTCCCTCTAGCGTCTGACACCTAAATTTCACAAATAAGAGAAATAGCACGATATCACTAAAGATACATACCACAAGTGGTTTCAAAAATTGCTATTTACAAGCAAACGTCCCGGAATCAGACGCGAAGATGGTGCCCGGACAGCTCCTGGAGAACACACCTTGAGAGGGAGATGCGGGATGGGGTCGAGGGCCCACAGCTAAGGGCTGAGGCCACCCAGGTCTCTGCGGGGAGGAAGGAGGTGAGTCACAGCGGCGGCGACGCAGAAAGCCGGCAGCTTCGCCGGGCTGGGGGAGCTTCGAAGAAACGCTATGCTTCCCCCATCCCGAGGCGGCACCCCGGAACCACTGCTAGCACACGAGGGGGCCACCCGATCTCGGATCCGGGAGATCGCCGACGCCTGGGCTCACAGAACCCGCTGCGGCGCCACAACCCAAACCTGGGGGACCGGGGGAGACATTTTGGGTGCACCGGCAAAACTCGTCCCCAGGGCTGGGGTCGTCCTGGCAACACGAAGGGCGGTGTGTGCCAGTGTAAATAACCCGATCGGGCAACAGGTACACAGCCTCGGTTCCGCAGGAGCCCCTCTCTCTCCGCGAGTCCCGGTGGACAAAAACCCCTGTCCTTTCTCAGCCGCCGACTTGGAACGACTGCACGCAAGGACCGCGGGCCACCGCCACGGTCTCGCCGAAAGGCGCCGGGCAGCTGGGAGCCGGCGACCGAGCGATGCTGGGCCCTCGGCCTCTGGGGCGTGGGGGAAAGGGAGGACCGAGAGCCCAGCGCCGGCCTTGAAGGGGGTCCCCTCTCGTGGTACCTTGGCGGAGGCAGGACGCAGGACGCAGGACCCTCCGGCCGGAATGCCGTCGCCGCGTCTCCTCCACCCAAAGGGCCGGCACCGGACACAACTTGCGGAGCACCAGCCGCTGCACGGCCGGCTGCCGCTTCTCCGGGAGCCCCGTGAGTAGCCCCTCAGAAGTGTCCCCTCCAGTCCCCCCGGGTGGGCCTCAGCGCCTCCCCGCGGCTGCGGCTCAGCCCCGCCTGGAAGCACAGCGTTCTCTCCCTGGAGGCGGACGCCACCCCGTCTTGCACGGCGGCGCGGTCCCGCTGGGGCACGGGGTGGGGGCAGGGGGGAGTGCGGGGGAAGATGGGGTGCTGGAGGGCACGGTGGGTCTTTGGAAGCCGGCCGCGGGCACTTGGGGAACTTCAGACAGGGCCGTGGCCTCCTGATGGCGGCTCGGGGACGCGGCTGCCTGAAAGCAGCAGGCCTCCTTGCCTTTCTGCAGGAACGGCGCCGTCCATCACATGCACTGACCCCATACCACGCGCAAAACAAACACGCCGAGCGTGAATTGATAACTTTATTGAAAAGACAACAAGTGCCCAAAAATGAGGGTCCGTGAATTTGCACTTCTCCTGCATACATTTAGCGGGCATTTAGTGAACTGCTCTTGGCGGCGAGCTACACAGAATGGGGCTGGGCTCGAAAGCACCGTGGGAAAAAACCGTCACGGAGGCCATTCTGTGGGAAAAGGGCTTACCAGCGAACCACGGACGGTAGGAACCCGGGAGCGCCCGCAGGAGGGCAGCCGAAGGGAGGGAAAGGTGGAGGCAGCCAGGGCAGAGGAGGCAAGAAGGCAACAGGAAAGAGCGGCATGGGCCGCGGAGGTGGTCCCAGCAGCAGTGGCTGGGGGAGAACGCACAGGCAATCCGGCCGCTCCTGATTGAGGACGGCACGGTAGGGTCCACCCAAGTTAAAGATGATGGGGGGGACCATGGCCACGGGGGGCACGTTTCTGAACCTCAGTGCCCTCTGATGTCTCCTCCACTTGGCCCTCCTGTTCTTAAACCAAACCTTCAATCAGAGAGAAAAAGAGATCGTTTTAGTACGTTGAGCACTGGATGTCATACAGGAGAAAACAAGCAGGCTACTTACTCTCTATGCCCTTAAGGTTTGAAACGGCATCAGGGGAGCTATGTCCTTCTTGCTAAAATCGCTTAGGGAAGTCAGGGCCACGGGCCCCCCTGCAGCTCACCCCGAGAGGGCACCCACGCTGCGCCAGCCTGTGCCAGGCTCTGGCTCGGCTCTCTGCTTTGCCTCTGTCCTCCCACCTTGCCTATTACTTTTCCCCGTTCTCAGCAGCAGGTGTAGGTGAGGAACGGCGCTCTGTCCCTGCCGTGACTGTTACACCTGGGATGTCTGTGTCCTCACAGCTGACCAGCAGCTGTCCAGCTGCCACTGGCCCCTAGTCCCTAGGCAGGTGTCACCCTGCTTATGGGGGAAGCTCAGCATCGTCCAAGAGTCCTGCTGAGGGGAACAAACCCCATTTTGAAAAGCCCGTCTTGAACAAAGAGTAAGTACGTCATCCATAGGAACGTGCCGGATCTTTCAACAACAGCAGCGTTCCTTTCAGGATGACTGAAGGGTCGCTCATCTTCTGAAACCGCTTCAGAGTGGAAAAGATGCTATTGTGAGCGAGGCTTGGGCATGGAGGGCCCAGGAGCCTGTGGCTGGTCCTGCTGGGACAGGAGGAAGCTGAAGCGCTGGACACTACCTGAATGTTACAGACATCGGGGACAATGCGTGTTTACACGAACTAGGACCAGACTTGCTAAGTTCGTAAAATCTCGTCCAGCCAACAGATCGGGGGCAAAGAGGCTCACCGCCGTCACTGTGGTGGATTCTGCAGCCCCCAGCCTGCACCACCCTCCAGGCTTTCCTGGGCTCAGCCCCCGGCCAGCTCCCTCCTCTCTGGCTATGGTTCCAGCACCCTGGACAGGACCCCTGCTGCCCAGCGGGGCAGGGCCGCCCCCCCTCCCCAGGCCCCTCTACTCAACCAGGAGAGCCCCATCCCATCCCTTATCCTCTTTTCTGTTGTTCACTGAACTACAGTTGACATACAATACTGTATTCGCCTCAGGTGTACGACATAGTGATTCGACAGTTCTCTACAAAATGCTCGCCGCGGTAAGGGCAGTCACCATACAAAAGGATTACGATATTACTGACTATATTCCTTACGCTGTCCTTTGCATCTCCGCACCGGATTTATTTTTCAACTGAAGTTGGTACCTCCTAATCCCCTTCACTTATTTTTCCCCTGCCCCCACCCCCTCCCCTCTGGCAACCTCCATCCTGTCCTCTGTAAATGAGTCTGTATCGGCTCCGTTTGTTGATTAGTTTTGCTTTTAAGAGTCCACCTATAAGTGCAATCATACAGTATTCTTAAGGCAAGAAGGTGAAACTGACATTGTAGGAAGACAGTCAACCACCATGTGGGTGAGGAGTCACAAAATGGCTCCTCCCTAGTATCTGCCAACTCTGAACCCTACAAATAAAACCTGTCCTTTGGACTCCACTGTCCTCTCCGCATCCTAGTTAATGGAATTTCTTTGTATTTAATATCTGTAGACATTCCCGGTTCGCAAATGTCACTTGACACAAAGGGGGCCTCTACTCTCCCTGTGGCCTCATTTTCCCTCTGCCGTCCTAGTATTTGGTCTTTCTGCTGCATGAATATGCTGTCTAAAAACACCAGCGCCGTGGACCTCATCTTGGGGGGATCCAAGTTTCCCAGAGGCCAAATCTACACAAATGCCAAGTAGCCTAGCTGAGGTACACACTGATCCTCCCTCCGTATTTCTAATACTGGATTCATATAACAGCTCTTACTGCACTTGGGGGCACATCCATTAAACTCTTCCTCACACAAACACTTTATGATCTCAGTTATATGGGGAATCTAAAAAACCCAACAAACTCAAGGAAAAAGAGATCAGATCTGTGACCACTTTTAGAGGGCTTGGGTGGAGGAACTGCCTGAAGGTGGTCAAAAGGTAAAAACTTCCAGTTCTAAGATAAATAAGTACCAGGACTCTAATGTAGCATAAGGACTATACTTAACACTACCTTATGGTATCTATGCCAGTTAAGAGATTCAATTTTAAGACTTCTATTCACAAAGAACAAACTGTTTATTTTTCTTTTTGTCTTTTTCCTTTCTTCTCTGTCTCTCTAGGACATGATGGATGGTAACTAGACTTGCTGTGGTAAACACCTCACAATAGATGTAAGTCAGATCATTATGCTGTATACCTTAAATTGATACAGGACTCTATGCAACTTATGTCTTCATAAAACTGGGAAAAACTTCTTTGAAAATTGAAAGTGCCGGGGCGCCTGGGTGGCTCAGTGGGTTAAGCGTCTGCCTTCGGCTCAGGTCATGATCCCAGGGTCCTGGGATCGAGCCCCGCATCGGGCTCCCTGCTCGGCAGGGAGTCTGCTTCTCCCTCTCCCTCTCCCTCTCCCTCTCTGTCTCTTATGAATAAATAAATAAAATCCTTAAAAAAAAAAAAGAAAAGAAAAAGTCTTTCCAATTAGCACACGTCAGAATCCAGCCTGGACTAAGAGCCAGTGCCCACTAGTGACAAATTCCACACAATCTCTTCCTAAAAGGACCACAAGAGGAAGATCAAAATCTCAGGTGTCAGACATTCCTCACAGGAATATTCACTAATGCGTTTGGTCGGTTCAGAGATTGGAATGTGAGTCATATCCCCAAGGCATCTTTCTGGCCTTAGGCTTCCACCTGTGCTGGGGTGGCGGCCACCTGGTTGGATCGGCCTCCACCTGGTTGGGTCGGCCTCCACCTTTGTTAGCTTGGTGGAACCTTGTTTGAAATTGTTGCTTTCGTTTCTTTTCTCTTGTAGACAGATTTCAAAGGTGGCACCTACCCCCCTCCCGTCTCCACCGTAATGCACGGGTCTACTGTTTAACAAGGTTATCAGGCCGACTATGAAGGAGTTCCAGAAAATGAAGATGTAGGCCTGGCACTCTCCACACCTGTTTACCAAGTACTTAAAAGCCACAGCTCTAAAAGTAAATTAATGAAATTTAACATCTTTTAAATAAAATAAAATATTTTTTTAAATTAAAAAGTAAAATTGCCTTCGTCTGAATCCTAGAGCAAGAAATCGTGTATATTAGGGCGCCTGAGTGGCTCGGTTGGTTAAGCGTCTGCCTTGACTCCAGTCAAGATCCTAGAGTCCCAGGATCCAGCCCCATGTCAGGCTCCCTGCTCAGTGGGGAGTCTGCTTCTCCCTCTGCCGCTCCCCCCGACTGTGTTTGCTCTCTCGCGCGCTCACTCTCTCTCTCAAATAAATAAAATCCTAAAAAAAGAGAGAAATCATATATATTGGAAAAACAAAAAACAAAAAAAAAAACAACAACCCAGCAAGAGGCCTAGGCACCTGCACTACAAGCAGTAAGAGTAAAAATAAATTTCTGAACTTTTAAAATAAATTAAAAGTAATTCCATAATGACAAAATACAATTGTTTCCGTCTGAATCCTAGAGTGAAAAAAATCATATGTTACGAGGAAATACCAAGAGCAGGAGGCCCAGGCTGTTGTACTTGAAGGTCTACCCTCCCTGTAAGTCTCAGCTTCACTGGACATAAGGCAGTTGCTTATCTGCTGTGTCATGTGTGTGAAATCTTCCCTCAAGCCTATGCCAAAATATTTGTAAATTCACTCCTTAGGCCAAGAGCTTATGCTCGTTTTCAGTAAATCGGTGTAATTCAACTCCTTGGTGAGTTGAGCGATTTGAACGATTTCCACTTCAGACTCCATCCAAATGTGACCCGACAGTGAAGTGGTGCCTGCATGATAACCCTTTCAGGAGCTGAGCTGTCTGTTGAGTATGTGTGCTTGCGGGTATTCCTTTCTTTATGTTTATATAAAATATTTATGTTTCTGTATATATTGTTCTAAGATGGGTTATATATAAATGTACCATATATAATATAAACTTGTGTATATACAAGTCACGTATGAGTGCTTATACAGGAATACATAGGAATTACATAATTATACCCTTATAGTATAATACTTAAATAATACCTGATGATTCTATTGTAGAGAAACATTACTACCATATAATGATATTGCTATATCAATAGATTAACGTGCTACTCAATAACTAATATCAATTAATAATAAATAAATATTAATCCATAACTGATACAGCAAAGAACAATCTATTGGCTATAGTATATGGTAATTGTATATTACATAGGACTATATTAATAACATCGTAGATAATAACTGATTAATTATATGTGCATTATAGAAATATATTTTATATTAGCAATAACAATGATGTCACATCGATATATATGGTATTTATCTGTTATGGAAGATGCTTAAAAAAGAATATACTTTTGATATACTGTGTATTTATTACGTATACATTTAACATATCAAATATATATATTCTATACTAGATGAATATGTAAGCATATATTCTATGAATTAAATGTGATTTACATGTTATATAATTTATATTCATATTTACTACATGGCATGTACTTCTTTTTTTTTTAAAGATTTTATCTATTTATTTGAGAGAGAGAGAATGAGAGATAGAGAGCACGAGAGGGAAGAGGGTCAGAGGGAGGAGCAGACTCCCCGCTGAGCAGGGAGCCCGATGCGGGGCTCGATCCGAGCCCCCGGGACTCCAGGATCATGACCTGAGCCGAAGGCAGTCGCTTAACCAACTGAGCCACCCAGGCGCCCCACTACATTCCATGTACTTCTAGATCACATACTGACTTATATAATAAATACACACATATGTTAGTATATACTCCATATAAAAATAGTACGTATACTATATATATGATCCATAATTATGATGTTATATGTAAATACATGTATCCGTTAGTATATAGGTATATATTACATATAAAAATAATACGAATACTATATATATGATCTATAGCTATGATTATATTTCTATTTGTGCTATATTTAAAAATCCGTATAAATATGTGTATTCTATGTCTAATTCAGTGACATCTAAAAGTATATATAGGTACAGTTTATACAGACATGTGTGTATATTTTATAGAAGGGATACGATACGATACTAATTTTTTCATTCCTTTAGGAAATCATGTTCCCTCTGGAAATGGGCAATTTCCCAAACCTGGGCTTTATTTATCCCGTTGTCCCCCCACCAAGACCCAAAAGTTCAACACTTACTTCTCAAAGCTAGCAAAGGCCACAAAAACCCAGGACGGTGAGAAGGTCAAGGACAAAGGTGTCCAAGTCCTGAAGCCGGTTTTAGAACGGCTCCCAGCCAAATGGTTTCTTTCGGGTTTACTGACCTGCACTCTGGCTTCAGGCACATCGATTAATCTTGCAAGCTCCTGGCTGAGGGGAGAAAAATCAATATTTGGAGTTGGGGGTGAATTAAAATAGAGCATTTTTCCTTCCTCTTTTTAACATTTTTTTTCAGGGAGATGTCAGTGACATTTTAGGAACCAGTCTGTACACTTAGGGAAAGTCACACCATTTCAGGATTGACAGTGAGATGCAGTGGACCAAGACCTGAAGGAAAGCCAAGTCTCTTGGGTAAAGGAGGCACAGTCCCCGAGAACACACGACATTCTAATTCAGTTTCCTTTAGTGTTACCAACTTCAAAATGAAGAAATATCTCTGAGGATCTAGCCCTACCGACTTTCGATCATTGCTCTTAACCCCATTTTATGGATTAAATTAGAGCCCTCCAATAAGGTGCTGTCCATCCATCTCTCTCACCCTCTCTCTCTGACTCTCCCCCCAGCTCTCTCTCTCTTTCTCTCCCTCTCCTTCTCTCTCTCTCTCTCTCTCCCTCAGTGATGACCAAGTTAGAGTACATTCCCATAGGTGCTAAGGGATGGCACGAACTGCTGTTCATTCTTTGGTTGTGCTTGTTTTAAAGTTTCGGTATCACTGACTTCCTCCTCCCCTACCTCCGCCCACAGCCGCAGACGCCTCGCCCCCAACACTGTCCTGTACCATCTAGCTCGAGCTTTCCTTCTGCAGGGCAGCTTTCCCTCAAGCAAGATTTAATTGTACTCTGTTTTCAGATTTTATTTTTAAATAATCTCTACAACCGGCGTGGGGCTCGAACTTAAGACCCCAAAATCAAGAGTCACAGGCTCTACCGACTGAGTCAGCCAGGCGCCCCTTTTCTTTTCTTTTCTTCCTCTTCTTTTTTTTTTTTTTAACTTTTCATTGTTTCAAGACCTCTAGCAAAATCGAAGGGAATGCAGAATATTCACTAATCCAGATAGTTTTCAAGTGCACTACTTAAAAATGTAAAAATGGGTGCAGGGGCCCCACGGCGGTGTAGAGATTACTGAAAATGAATCATTTTAAAAAACCGAGTGCAGAAATAATTCACGACGAGTAGACTTACCACGATTTTAAACAAAGGTAGGATCCTAAACCGCTTGCTCCCGCGTCTCAGACTTGTCGCCCTCGTCCCCGCCCACCCTGCTGCCAGTAGGACATTTTTCCGTGAAGGGCGGCGGACGCTTTCCCGGCTGGACGCGATCAAACCCGCCCGAGCGAGCGTCCGCCTTCGCCGCCCCACCCGCAGAGCGAGCGCTCAGCTCCCGCAGAAGCGCCAGTGCCCGGCGGGCCCGGCAGCCTCGACGCCGCTGGGTGTTCGTCAGCCGCGAGGATAGAGACGCTGCGAACCCGTCCGGCCCGCCGCCCGCGAGGCCGGGAGCCCGCGCCCGGCGCCGCAGCCCGTCCAGCCCGCCGCCCGCCGCCCGCGAGGCCGGGAGCCCGCGCCCGGCGCCGCAGCCCG